TTTTAGTTGTTGAAAAGTGGAAGTTGATTTTATTGTTCATTGGTTTGAAGAAATTTGTTATATTAATATATAAGCAAGTTGATGGATGACTGCTGATTTTAATTCCTCTATTACGGAAAGTTATGTAGAGGAGAATATAACAGGTTTCTTAAATGTAATGCAAAATTTTAGTCCAAGATAAAGGTCAATTTAAACACTTATTACTTTTTCAATTTTTGCAAGCAGAACAAAACATTTGAACTTGGACTTAATTTCTTTTTCATTTATTTGTAAACAATTAGTATGATACTACGTACCTCTGGTGCACTAATACATACACTAGTTCACTTAATTATTGAGCAATTGACGAAATCCTTATGTTTTGATATTTTAACTTAAACGTAAGTATATCGTGTGTCTTTGTACTAGTTTAATCTGTCCCTGCATTGAGTAGTTAAGTAAATTTCTTCAATAACCAGTCCGAAAAAGATGAAATTTAACTTATAAGCCTCTCATCTTTTTTTTATTGTTTACATAACTTGTATATGATACTTTCCCTAAAACAGAATTATCTTAATTTTCCACTAGTTCAATTTATTCATTACCACTGATGAGTGGTGACTTAATTTAGACTCAATGAATTTGAAGTTCCTCAGATGATTATGTTGACATTTTAGGCTTTGAATCAGATACTCCCCTAGGATGTATTAGAGAACAATAATATATACCCAAATAAGAACTAGTTGCATCCTTTGGTTCTTAATGATAAGTATTAGCTCATGTTTATACGAGTTAATGATACATTAAGATAATGCGGAAGGTATAATTAGGTGCTTGATGCTAAAATATCACCTTCAAAAGCCCACTTGTGCTAATTAATGATAGGACCAAACTATGTCAAAGGGGAGAAATCTTCCTCTTTCTTAAGTTAATTAATCCCAATTAAGTTTTGCTTTAACCAAATGGAATATTATGTAGCGTTATGCTAGTAAGGGAACAACAACCTTTTCTTGTGAGTTTTTATGAGGCTTGCGGGGCCTAGTGAAGTGATGCAACTAAACCCTAGATAAGGATTTATGAGCCCATTTTAAGTATACTCGTTGAAGGTGACATAAAATGTCTCTGAATGCAATTATGTAAGTGTCATTGTTCAAGGTGACATACAGACGTGTATCTAAACTCATACGGTCGTCAAATTTCTTCAAGGAAAATATGAAATATGACCATCCTAGTTAATTGAAAAGATAACTACCCAGATACAAGAGCGAAGGTATTATAAATAAAATTTTTGATGTGACTAGATTTCTTTGAAGTTGTCTGGAACCACAAGGTAATGTAAGTTCTAAGACCCACCAAGTGCAATACTTAGTTTAGCTTAAACCACTGTCAACAACGACTAATTAGTGATTCTCTTAACTCGCAGAGACTTACATTATAAACTTAATACAATCACCCATCTTAAGTACGTGATGTTATTGTGCTCTGATACCACTTGTTGCGCGCGGCGGAAGCCAAAACAAAACCGATGTGCTTCGAGAGACTAAATCAAACAAATGTCGAGAGAAGGCAAATAATTCAAAATAACGGCACAAACTCAAACACAAAGTTTAACGTGGTTTGGCAAGTTGCCTACGTCCACGAGGCAAGAAGGGGATGTGGTTTTTACTAATAGAGAAAAAGAGTACAAACTGAGATTACAAATTACTCAAAGCAATTAACTAATCTCACCAACAAAACTCTTAATCTCTCCAAATAAAACCCTAAACAAATAGTTTAGAAAATACATCTTTTCTGTGCTTCAAATACTCCCCCAACAATCACCAATCAAAGCCAAAGAAACCCTAAAACCATGGTTGCTATTTATATCAAACAACAAATTCAATCAGAACAGGAAACCTCAATCAAGCTAAACCCGCTATGCCATCGACCACACATGACGCTGTGGTCGATCGGACAGAAAACGGGAACCCACGAAAACCGATTATAGGGTCTGCGGTCGACCGCCGCACCACTTGCGATCAACCACCAAAAATCCAGAAACAATCTCTGTCTTGTGCACGTTCGCGGTCGACCGTCACGCCACTCGCGGTCGATCGTGAAGCATCCAAACATGTTTCTTCTTCTCAAAACCTGTTCTTATCCAAATCTTTCGCGGTTTCTACCGATGTCTTCGCCAAGGCATGAATCCATCATTTGGCGATATGAATTTTGCCAAAAGTTCTAATGTAGTTGTAGATTGTATTTTAATATAGTTATAGATTAATTCTCTGAAAAAATATAGAAGCGCAACTTATGTTCGCAAACGCTGCTCTTTGTTTTGGAGGCACTCAACGAATCCAGAGCACAGAAATACTTAAAACCAAAAAGAAACATGAGAATTTTCTAACATATATTAATTATGTCGTTCCTATGGGCACTAGGATCTTTATTTCTATCGGAGCTCAACAATGAATATATAACCATGCCATTGCAATTATATATGTTTCTTTCTCGAAGACATTAATTTGCAATGACCATATTCATCAGGGAATGATGCATGCACCGACTAATCACTATTATTATATTCAGCCACTTGCACAATTTGGGAGATAATGGAACGACTTTTGTTGTTCAAAACTATTTGCAACATCATTTGGGTGTACATGGGAAGTAAACTCATAACTAACTTTAAGAACAAACTACAAGAGAACAAATTAGGTGCATCCACCCCACCTGAACAATGAGAGAGAGAGAGAGAGAGAGAGAGAGAGAGAGGCCAACGTGGACGACTTGGGGTGGACTAAAAAATACTTGGTGGTCCTTGACAAACAAATTTTAGGGGTCCCACCTCTGCAAACTCCTACTCTCAAGTGCAAACAGTTAAATGACATACGTAGATTCAAGCCTCAACAGGGAGCAAGACCTCACATTATTCCGTTGTCAACTTCTCTGTTCAGTCCATTGTCAACTTAACTATCACTGGATTATATGAACGGGCAGGTTCTACAAGAGTAAGTTCTGCACTCAAATGAGCAGCTGCATTAGAAGTCAAGCCAATCTCGAGGAGCGGTGGATGGTAGCATATGTTAGTCTTTTGTATTGTTTGTGCGAAGAACATTTTTTGTGATCCTTCATTTTGTGTTATTGGATTATAGAAAATATAGTTTCTTTTACTATATGTATGGCCGGCTTTGGTTCTTCCCTATATCCTTCTCTACGGTGAACGACCGCAATATCCACTCTTCACCTTCATGGCTGCTTGGAAGAAGAAGATTATACATCACAAGTTAAGAGAAATTATATTTTCTATCTTCCAATTTCTATGGGTACGGTTCGCATCCTATTTTTGTAGCTATACTTTTGATAATATATTAATGAACATGGTATATCCTTTGTTTTATTCGCAAAAAAAAAAGAAAGAGTTAATTGCAAATAGACTGTTCTGTTGCCAAGTTGCAGATAGGATATCTATACTTCTTTTATTGCACACACCCCAAAAAAAAAGGGTATATCTAATTAACCTTATGAAGCTCATTTGTTTCAGTTTATGAGGTCCAATATTAATATAAGTAACATAACTCCTCTATCTGCAGCAGTACGGATGGTCCGTCCTAAATTTGGCAATAGTAAGAGGGTCTGCTTGCAATTAATCCTAAATTAAGTACTTGTGAATGTTCACTCTAAGTCCGAGCTTTCACATCACAGGTTGTATGTTAACATTGTGAAGTCATAAAGTAACCAAAATGTTCCCATCAGAACAACTTTAATTAGCATGCCGCGGCTACATATGGTCAAAGTTATTCCCCCATAAACTTTGGGTTTTGTCGCCAAAGTTCTTTCTCAAAGCCAGATTAATAGGAGGAATAATATATAGGTTTGAAGGCATATATATTTGTTTTTCTTTGTTAATTTTTGTTTTATTTGTTTACATTTTTGGAAATTCACAAAGGGCAAAATTTTGAGATTAATCACCTGTTTAATTAG